CCATCTCCTCCTCCCCCCTACTACTACAAGTCCCCTCCACCACCATCACCTTCTCCTCCAGACCCTTACTACTACAAGTCCCCACCACCACCATCACCCTCACCTACACCAACCTACTATTACAAATCTCCTCCACCACCATCGCCATCTCCTCCTCCTCCATACTACTACAAATCTCCACCACCACCATCACCATCACCTCCACCACCATACCATTACACATCTCCCCCACCACCATCGCCATCTCCTCCACCACCATACCACTACACCTCTCCCCCACCACCCTCACCATCACCTCCACCACCATACCACTACACCTCTCCACCACCGCCATCACCCTCACCTCCTCCTCCCTACATTTACAAGTCTCCACCTCCCCCATCACCATCTCCCCCACCACCATACTACTACACATCACCTCCCCCTCCAGTGAAGTCACCTCCACCACCAGTCTACATCTATGCTTCTCCACCTCCTCCAACCCACTATTAATCATCAAGAAGTTGGTCGTTTTCATCTGGCAGTCATGTAAGTAATTGTTCAAATTGCATTAATTATAGAATTTATCAAACTTACAATTCTAAAATCAGTAGCCTAACTTATAAATTTTTTTATTTGCAGCATTCCATTACAACCACATAATAAAGGAGGGCTTCCAGTGGGCAAGATTCAAGAATCAAATATTCAGCGAAATTAGTTTTATTACCAATAAGGTCCTGAAAGCCTTACAAGAATCAAATCTTTACATGTTGGACCAGTTTGCATCCGCCTCTTTGCCTGTCATTTTATACACAATCATTGTAATATCTGCAGGTGAAAGTTGGCCAAAGATGAATTGTTTATTTGTACGAAGATGATATATAATTAGAGGTGTGTCTAGGGTTGTTTTGCCTGATTTATTCTTGTATTCTGATGGCGTTGTTTGATTGAATTTATATTTATTACTGTTTCTTGGTTCTCTCTAAATGTTCCATAAATTTAGTGTTGTTTCCCTTCCATTCAGTGCGTGTTTTGTTGCATATACGTTGTCTCTTGCGGTTTTCCGAAGTAATTGAGCGTGCGAGCCAAATGAGTTCAGAGATTATGTCTGGTTCAAGAAAGGACTATAGAAGTAATTTATTCGATAATTATAACCTCTACTTTACTAAAACGAGACGGAACTGCTTTGGAATCCAATGCAAAGAGCCAAAGACCAAAATCCAAGTCTCTTGCACATGTTTTATTCACTATATTACTTTGTTATTTGATAAATTCGATGCTTCGAGATATATATATATATATATAATTCGATATTCTAACGAATCAATGTAATAATAGATTAAACAACTGAAAAATACTTTGAATTTTTTAAGAAACGAGATAATATAAATTAATATACTTTAAGAAACTTGGAACCACGTCACTTCTTGTACTATATAATGTTGATATTTATTGTGAGTGGTTTAAGTACAATAAAAAACCAAACTAGAAAAGGATTGTTACGCCCGACTTTAATTATGCAAGACTTTAGAATGCAACTACTCCACTGAATGACAAGCATCTGTTTTTCTTTGATTATAAGTACTAACTACTGCATTTCAACTAGTCAGGAAAAAGGGCTTTGCTACAAGTATATCAAGGTGTACATAAGGGTATCCATAATGGACACCCGGCATCTCCTTATTGGATGGAGTACCAATGGGGCCGGCACTCCATCCAATAGGGGGGGTGCCGGTGTCTATTATGGAAACCCTTATATACACCCCAATGTACAACAAGAATAATCCCAGGAAAAAATACCTTAATTTAATAGGATAAAATGATTGTTGATTGCAATCATGCTACGTGAACATCAAGGTTGATCTAAAGTTTGATATAATGTCACGTGACATTTGATCATTAGATAATTTATAATATAGTTAGTTTTTTTCATCGAATTATTTACTACCACGTGCAATTATGCGAAACTTTATGTCAAATTCCTCTGACAAAATAACTTTTTCCTTGCTGATTGATGTATGAAGTGATGTGGCTTAGCATAATTCGTACATTTGTCGTATAGTGAACTAAATAGGATTAAAAGAAAGATAGGTATGAGATAAACTTAGTTAAGAACTTGTCAGTACGCGCAAGAATTGGCCGGCTCACACTACTATCCAACCCTAATTCGACCATTTATCTTTTCTGAGTCGATACCTGTGCTAGTTTTCAAAATATTATATATCCTAAACTTGAATCATGTGTAATTTAGCGTTTCAAAATCTCATTTTTGTGTGGCACATAATTTTTAACAAATATTGTTAGAAGAATATTCTCTTATGCTACTAATCACATATTTAATTTGAAACTATTCATGAAAGACCTTAAACTATCTGACGTTGACATGCTGTCCAGCAAAACAAACAAACAAATGAACGGGGCAGATCGGTTAGTGAAAAGGTGGTCCATAAAGAAATAAACAAAATTTGCAAGGGCTGGTGGCAGAATCTCTTCATTTTGTCATGAGGTAGGTGGGTTGCTAGTATTTTCGTCCATCCAAAGAATTTTGAAACCAAACTTTGATTTTATTTCAATTGACATCGATAATACAATTAAAAAACAAAAAAAAAAAAGTTGAACCCCAACCTTGAGGGTTCCGCCCCGTCCCACCTCTAAAGTATTGTGGAGGAGGTAAAACGCGGGATGTGCCTTAGTAGATCAATGTACAAGAGTTGTCATACTGGTGCCCACAAAGAGTTCAATTGCATATCTTTTAAGAGACAAGAATCGAACTCTCACACTACGACTGTCAGCTCAGCTGAGACTACCTTACTCATGTCCTTTGCACCACTGAGCTATACCCCGGGGGAAATAATACAATTTATCTCGAACAGCTCAAGGCATACAATTATGGAAAAATATATATGTACATAATTATTGAATATAATGGATTACATAGGCCTATGTGAAAGAAATCCGACCGTGGATGTGAAATGTGCAAAAGTCAAAAATTGTAGACTACCGACGGATGCGCGACACATGTCAATTATGTAATGTATTATGTAAATGATTATGCACTTGTAACATAGTCTTACAATTATACGTGGTCGGTAGTATAAATATGTGAATGACATTAAAAAACGATTTTGGAATTTAAGAAATCTGGTGTCGATGATCGTACTATCGATTTGATTAATGACGTTTTCGTGGTCCACGTAGATTTTATGTGACATTCCCTTTGATTTTAACGTCCCACGCAAGTAGATGTTGTCAATTTTGTCAATAGCGTCTAACAGAGTAACTGTACTTTTGAAGAAATTCGACCAACTCCATGTCCAAATTCATATTATTTGAATTGAGTAGCAGCCTCTGCATGATTAATTGCATGTGGATTTGTTATTGGCCCCTACATGGCTGTCCTAAGTTGAATTATTTCTATTCAAAATTTCAACCACTTTTTTTTTTTTTTCTTTTATTGTTACCTGCTTTATATATTAGTCTTCCCAGCGACAATTATTGTTCGTAGACTTATAATTAGAATAAATAATTTTGTTTGCATTGGATCTCTTATTGCCCATCTTCCTTGAAAAAGTACAAAGTATCCTTTGTAGATTAAAACTTCTTAACTTTATTAGATTAGTAAATATAATCATTGCACTCGATCATATCTTTGTCGTGTTAAGAAGTTACTTTACAGGATTTAGTAAATTGAAATATAGGGTTTTAGAAATTTAGAGGCTATTCTCTTTGTGTTTCAAGTTTGTGTTTTGAATTTTGAATTCATTTTGTATTTTGTGTTTTAAGTGTCCATTTTGAGATTGTTGAAAATGTGTTCTTTTTGGCATTTTGAAAAATTGTTTTGAAAACACCCAAAATACGTTTTGAAAATTTTGACTTGATTATAATTGAAAACACTCAAAACGACAAATTTGTCGTTTTGAGCTTTCTTTGTAAATTTTTAACTTATTTTCAAAAACGCGTTTTCGAAAATAGAAAAGAGAACGCGTTTTCACTGTTTTGAAAAATCGAAAACAAAATTTGGTTTGAAAATTGTAAAGAGAACGGCCCATAATTTTTTATGCTCTATATCAACGATATGTGTCCATTGTTGGAATTTTGAATTTTTTTGCAACGCAGTGACTTACCACGTTCTAAAAATCATGGAGAAATCTTATGGTACGCTGCTAAATATCTATTGCATGATCGGAGTTGTAAATTGAATTTGAGAAGGATACAATTAACAGACAAAAAATCTAAACAAACAGGGTCAATGACAAGGGCATTGTCTAGGGAGTGAAGTGTCAGTTTTTGATTGGCAATGTTTTCTTTAGTTTGTACTTAACTGCCAATGAAAAAATGCCAAGTGTATGTGTGTACATCTTCCCGTCACTTACCGTGTCCCTAATTTAGTCGAATTTGGTCCAATTTTGAAGTAGGATATTATACAAAGACACGTGCTAAAAATTGGTCGTACGGTAAAACTTATAGTATTTCTCTTACAATACTTGAGGGTTTGAGTGAGCGAGTGAAATCATATATAATTGTACAAATTTTTCATACGGTGGAAGTTTTGCCGGACCATAAATTTTTGTCTTATTTTTATTATTTATTATTTTTCTATGAGAATAAAAATCACGTGGGGGTAACAAAAGGGCATTTGTCTTAAATTTCCAACACCCTATGATTTCTATTGTATGAGTGACATATGACTGCGCGTGATGTGAATTGTGCATATGCTCCTAAATTTTCTGTTCTTTTCTTGAGTTTGTCTTGTTTGGTTTAGATAAAAATTAAATTTTGAAAAAAGTTGATAACATGTGCAGTTGAAAAGTTTCGATCATAAAATATATTATTAAAATTAATCGTTGACTTTAACTTAAATTTTCATTAACTTTTTTAGTTGAAGCAAATAGGGATTTAGAATATATGTAGGTTCCTGTCGTACTTAGCGTCCGAAGCATATATGTATTTTTTATACATGATGATTGAGACACACACGCAGTAAACATTCTACGTCTAAAGCTAAAGAAAGCACGTGTAGTGGGAATTAATATTATATCTTCAGTAAATTTTGATAAAAATTGATGAAATATATTTTTGAAAAGTTTAAATCTCGTGAAATATGTAGTTAAAATTAATTACTGACTTTGATTAAATTAAAATCTAGATTTTAATTTATATCAAACAGGAGCGAAATGTTGTGGAATTGTAGAAAAAGAAGAGAAGGAGGAAACGATTAGAAGGTTCAAGTAATTCGCGATTTCGAGCGAGAGAGGGAGGCCAAAAAAACAAAAACCCTTGTTGAAGAGCGGTATAACCTTAAGGTGGATTTCCTTAGATTTTTTATTTTTTTATTTTTTGCATAATTCATGATTTTTTACTATGAATATGTATGAGAAAGCATGGATTTTTTTATATGCTTTGAAATCCTTTTGTTCCCTATGTCTTGTAGAATCTGGTTGGTTGTCTTTTTATTTTTCAATTTCTATAAGTTAGTTTGGAAATGAATGTTCACTCATAATGGACGTTTTCTTAGAAATTAAACTATTTGTATAGCCCCGATAGATGTGAATTAAAATCAAAATTTTAGTAGATTTTAATACATATTGATGAAATATGTGATTGAAAAATTGTGAAACTCACGAAATATGTGTAGTTAAAATTAATTGTTGATTTTAACTTATATTAAAGTTTAGTTTTTAATTTTTACCAAAAAGAGGCATAGTAGTATTCTCTCTATAGTTTGCAACCCTGGCCTAACCTAACCTAATTTTATTGTTATATTGAAAGTAATTTCTCATCCAGACTTGTATCATTAATTTGTTTACTTTATTAGAATTGAACACTGAGATTTTGAAGAAAAATGTGTTTTGAAATAGTGATTTTTTGAGAATGTATATTAATAAATAAGAAAAAAATTTGAATTTACGCGTAACATTATTTTATAGAAGAAAGTGTGGTTGAAAATATATTTTAAAAAAAATTATATGTTTTATGTTTCCCCAAATTCTTGGTTTTCCTTTGCACTTTTCTTGTTAATCTTATATATTTTTCCTAAATTTATGTATGAAGTAGATTTGAAAATATTTGAGCGTGCATCTTTTTTCTGCCCTCATTTGGTTCCCATTATTTTTAAAATAAATTTTTTGCTATATTTTCAATCACATATTTTTTACTAAAATAATATTACACGAAAAATTCAAAACTTATTTTATTTTTTAACCACACATTTTCTATCAAAAATCCAAATTGCATTTTGGAAGAAAAATGGGGCTCAAACATGCCCTTTCCAGGGACGGATTTAGGGGGGCTGTAGCCCCCCCTCCCCAAATATGTTTAAAAAAAAAAAAAAAAATCATGCGTGGTTTTATTTTTTTTTATGTCTTAGCCCGACTTGTAATTCGGTCCTAAATTCGTCCATGGCGCTTTTGTAGCCCAAAGTTGAAGTAGATACCCTATGATTTCAAACTCATAATTATTTTTATGCCCTCTTTTAACAATTATGAAATTGGAAAGTTTAGATGTTCATAAAAGAATGAAAAAAAATGTAATAATTAATCATCAATGTGCTGCTTCTATGCAGACAATACTTGTTTCATGAATCATGTCTCTTATTTTACATTTCAAGCGAGTCGTCACCCAGAGTTTAATGATATGGATTCTCATGAATTTCTTGAATTTTAATCCATGAATAAAATTTACATTATTTATAAGATTTTAAGCTAATAAATATTAATAAATTAGAAAATCGGTTCCAATTGAAAATTTGAAGAAAATTACAATCTATCGTTCAAGCTAATAAATATTAATAAATTAGAAATCAGTTCAATATGAAAATAAAATTATTTTCATTATA